GTTGGCCAAACACTGCTCAATTTTTTTTATGTTCAACCTCTGGGCATAACAAAAAAAAAAAGAGCAGATTCTTCCATCAAGGCTATGAGTGCATTGATCGAGGAATGCCCGCTGTTTCCTTTGCATTCCGATTGTGACTGCCGGCCGCTGTCAGAATACCCGAACAGAGCCTATAGCTCATTTGCTGCTGGCTCTGTATGAAGTTTTTTCGACCTGCTCCTTCGAACAGCTAATCGAGGGATGCCGGCTGAAAGGGTGCCAACGGTGGCACCTACTGTGCGAACCTCATCCGGTTCCTCAAGAACCGGGCAAAATTCGCACAGTATATGTCCTTCATAAGTCTAATTTTATTTATCAAAGTTTTATACTATCATTGGCTTTTTTCTAGTGAAGAGGAAGCCAAAATCGGTGCTAGACGGTTGGCTCGTTGTTTGCAGAAACTTGGCTTTTTGGTACAGTATTAATTTTCTCTGTTTATGCATGAGTATAACTATTGTGCACTGTGTATTATCCTATGCAACAACTGTGTGTATACTGTAGGCTATATCAATCAATAATTTTCATCTGTGTAGTACAGAACTATGTGCATACAACAGCCTACATTGGGACAGCTGTGCCCCTTCTGAATATGATAGCAGTCGGGTTCTCATACTGATCCAGTTGCTCCAGAACATGAATTTCTAAAATGGAACAGATAAGGAGGCCTGACTTCACTGGGTGCATGGTTCTACTAGGTCCTTGACATATAATGCATTGAAGCCAGAGACAGACATGCAGTTAGTTTGTTCAGAATGTCAGCAATGGCCACCTACATATGTCTCATGACATAGTTTAGCAGAAGATGGATGAAAGCGTTATTTTAGCAAATATAGCGTGAAACAAAGCCATTTCTAACAATGTTTGCTTGACATTGAAGTAGAAGATCTACTTTAGACCAAGCATACATTTTCAATTGCCCAAGGGCAGTGTTTCACACTATATTTGCTAAAATAACTTTTTTTTAATTCACTTTCTTAAACTATGTCATGAGACATATGTAGGTGGCCATTGCCAGATCTTCAACTTCAGTGTCAAGCAAACAATGTTAGAAATGTATTTTTAAATGGGTGTATTGTCAAAATGGTCACACATGTACAAGCGATAGCCATAATAGGAGGGAAGCCACATGGATCTCTTGTCTAAATGCTTAGGAACCCTAAGGCCCCATTCACACCTGATCCGTTAGCATCTGTTTTCTAACAGATGCCAATGTAAGGACATCTGAAAATAAATGGGTGTGAATGGGAGCAGTTCACACGAGTCCATTGCATTGAGCTGCCCTGCGCTGGAAAAAGAGTAGAGCAGGCTCTACTTTTTTTTTCAACGCAACGGACTGGTGTGAACTGCTAACGCATGTCAATGGAAGGCAGAACCAATACCTTATATAGCTTCGCGTAAAAATCAAACAAAAAAAAACCCAATAAATACAACAGATGTCAATGGACTTTGCAAACTTAAGTCAACGCACCTTCGTTTTTGGCTCTGATTCTGGAGTGAATGCGCTCTTAAAGTTAAACATTGAAATGAATGAAATGTTTGCTCAGAATACTATTCTTAATATTTCTAGTACTTGATATGTATCAATAATAAGGCAGATACGTTAAATTTAATTATTCTTAGGAGTGCAGGTCTTTTAGACTCCTAATGTCACCTTTATAGGCCAATGAAGTTAACCAAGCACATATTGTGTTTTATTAGCTTAATTCCCAGCCACAGCGGCCAGGGAAAGAACGCCCACGTTCCCCTGCAGCTGCCGACACTTTCAATGCTGCCCGCAAGAGGGGTGGGGGGGGAGTGGGGTTGTTGCATCATGCTAAGTTCCTGTTGAAACCTAGGCTTTTTGTCGCTCAAAGGTAAGCGCGGTGAGTTGCTCAAGACAGGGAATGCGATTCGCTTGTCCTGAGCGTGACAAAACGCTCAAGATAAGGAATTGCATTAATTTCAATGGCATTTTGTTGCAAGCAGAAAACAGAGGTAGCTGATGTACTCGTACTCGCCCAAATGCTCCGATGCCTAGCCCGATACTTCCTGAATCAGGAAGCCGGGCAGCGCTTCATAACACGCTGCCCGGTTTCCTGATTAGCCGGGAAGCGGCTCCATGCTCTCTCGTCACTTGTGCATCATTACACGGCGCCCAGCTTCCATGATTGGCCAGCAAGACGGCTCTGGCTGGGTACCAGAAGAAGGCCGCTCCTGGCTGGAGAGGCCCCGGGGGTGACCGGCTGCACATGCCGAGGTGAGAGTAGACAGAGATCCGCACTGCAGAGATGTGCTGGATCGTATGATTATTATTATTATTATGGTGATTCGTATGGGACGGCTTTCTTGTTAATCGGGAAGCCGGGTGGTGAGTCTTTACACACTGCCCGGCTTCCCGGCTAATCAGGAAGCCAGGTGGTGAGTCATTACACGCCACCTGGCTTCCTGAATGGCACTTCCGGTACTTGGTAATTGGTATCAGCGAGTACAGAAAAAAATTATTGGTACTCGTACTCGGTACCAAAATACCGGTATCGGTGCATCCAAAATACCGGTATCGGTGCATCCTTATTTAGTAGTATAATATACTATATTAGCCCCTAATTTTCTGTGCTGTTACCTAGACAGCAAGTGAGGTGAGGTGGACACCCCGCAATAAAACCTGATGGAGGTTCTACTCGTTCCTAAAGAAGGTTTTTTGTTTGGAGCCGAGCTTTAAAGTCCATCTGTCATAGCAGCTCGTGTGAAATCAGGCACCATCAGTGGCCGTAGGTACCTTTGTTAGTTGGGAATTCCTCCCCAAATTTGTCCCAGGAGTCCCCAATTCCATATGCAATGACTTTATAAAAAGGGGAAGCTTAGTCAAGGTATAAACTGCAATGAAATCACATTGAGAAGTTTAGCTATTCTATGGTAATCATCCAATGTGTAACAGCTGGAAATGAATATGATTCTAATGAAATAACTATCAACAACCTTAACCCTTTCACTGACGGTTGTGGTGTTTTGTTTTTTTTTTTGCAGACATGTAGAATAAAATGTTCACAGTTGCATTTTTTTGTCACTCGATAATTGTACTGTTTATCAAATCTTTATTTTCAGTAAAAAATACACTCAAGTTAATTTTAGTAAACGCAATATAATACCTAATTGTTTAGTAAAATATAAAAGATGAAGATGCAAAAGAGATGTGAATGGCCATGAAATGGTGAAAAACTATGGCATCCACAATTGTCCATGGGCAATGCTATAAAGCCTTTACAGATCCTCAAAGACAAGTGTAAAGAAGTGACCACTTGGGTGCAGACTGTGAATAAGGCTACATTCACACTAGGTGTGTTTAGATGCGTTTATGAGCAGATAGGAAAAATAGAAGTTAGGTGCATCTGGGAATATATTTTAACTTCTAAATGCGCCAGAATGCATGTAAATGCGATTTGATGCTAGGGTTATGTACCAGATGCATCTAAAAGCATAGTGTAAACACAGCATCTAGCCAGACACATATTTCTCTGCATGTAGAGCACAAAAACACAAGCAGCAAGTGTGAATGAAAGGAGAATTACGAGGCAAGTGATTTTCACTCAGCCTCATAATCTGAGCCGACCTGTGACAATGAAACTGTCACAGGTCGGCTCAGTAGATCGGGAAGTGAGTGAATACATACCGGCGCTCGCTCACTTCTCGATCTATCCCTGCAGATAGCCGTGACTGTCACTCGAGGCTCCCTGTAGGGATTCCAATCTCTCCGCTCCGATCCTCCAGCGCTGACTGGCGGAACGGACGGGGGAGGGGGCGGGTACAGCTGGCTCTAGATAGGCAGAGCCAGCTGTCACGCAGCTGGGTGGATCCAGACAGTAATGTCGGGATCTGTTCCGGCTGCGGCATCTCAGTATACCGTGAGCTGTAGCTTGCGGTATATTGAGCTTAGGGTGACGGGAGGACGCTAGTTTGTGTTCTCCCGTTACCCTTAGGAGAACTATGGGGAAAAGCTCTAACCCCATAGTTCTCCATGAAGCTTAAATGTAAACAAACTCACACCTGCTATAGTGCCAGGGAGTCTGTTTATATGCCAGATATAATAGTTTTGTTGGTGGCAACAAAAGGGTTAAACACATTTGTATCCCACAATGCAATGGGGGGTGCCTTTGTTGCAGTGGGGATGTTTCCTAAGTTTCTGTAAAACAGAATATTTGGGGTTGATTTCAGGGGTGCACCTAGGGCAGAATGGAAGGGAATTTGCAGCACATAAGGGTAACTTTTGATGCTTTCTTTCACACCAGCCGCTTATTTGTTGACAACGGATTGGTTTGCCTTATCTTGTGACTTCACGTATCCTTATGAAGAGCATGGGAATTTTAAATTAGTAGCATTAGTTGCTTTTGCAAATAAAACAAAAAAGTGTTTAATATTCTATGTTGCTGTTATAACTGACGGTTTCTTTGTTTCTGTATAACAGGTAAAATTTACAGAGTTTAAAGTTGTCAATGTGCTGGCAGTGTGTAATATGCCATTTGAAATAAGACTCCCAGAATTTACCAAGAAAAACCGCCCTCATGCAAGGTAAGCGTTTTCATTTCTGATATTGCATTTTAATATTACTTTCCTGGTCATATCCATGGCAGCGCTGACAAAATGGGTTATAGTTCTACTACCCCTAGTTGACAGGAACAATAAAGGGTTAACGAGAAGCACCCTTAGCCCTCATACGCCCCTCCTTCCCCTCAGATTCCCACTCTTTTTGTTCCTGTTCCCCTAGGACGGCGTGCTATTTGTTTGCAGCAAGAATTACAGGAATTGCTCTTGTATGGCCACAGGGGAGCTCAGGACCCGGCCCTGAGCAAGGGTGTCCCCTTGAGGCAGCAGACTGTGGGGCGTGCGGAAACCATACCCTGAGGGGTAGCTGGGTTACTAGGGGCGTCAAGCCGTGAGTTATTCCCCCCCCCTGACAGGCACGTATGGTCAGGTGTCTGCGGGAACAGGTCCTACCCATGGTCTGTGTGCTCTCCTTCTGCCCCGAGGTAGCGGCAGTGTGTGGGCGGACGCGGCTTCGGTGCGGCCATTGCGCATGTGCGAAGGATCTTCGTGACGCGTTTAGTGCCGGCACTCGAGACCGGGATTTGGGCGCCAAAAAAAAAATGTTTTTATATTTATTGTGCTCGAATCTTTCTGTTGAGACTTCTGTACTAAATATTGTGTTTTTGTGCAGTTATGAACCTGAACTTCATCCTGCGGTTTGCTATAGAATAAAGACTTTAAAATCAACACTACAGATTTTCTCGACTGGAAGTATTACTGTAACAGGTAATATTTGGATGATACTCTTTGCATATTCTTTCGTATGTCTAATACATTTGTGAACCAATAAGAATTTTCTGTATTTTTGTAAGAATCTGATCTGATCTGATTTGTATTTAAGGTTTGGCAAAAACGTCCCACTAAAAGCAAGCAATGCTTCTGCTTTTAATCATCACTTTAGACAGTTGGGCAGTTATTGATCCAGTAGAAGGTGGTGATTAGCTCTTAAACTGATATTAAAGCCACATTTTTTTTCCATTTCTCCTTTGAGGAGACCCTCCTCTGCTGGAGGCTGTTGTTTTTTTGTTTTTTTAAAAGTACTTCTTTCCTCGTTTTCTAGTGTGTCTAGTGTGATGCCACCATCGTTCTAATGGAGGCACACAGCCCTGTGGCAGGCCACTCCCCTTCCTTCTTTGATTGATGGCAGAAGGAGCCCATGGCTCCTCTGCCATCAGTACCCTCCCCCGCAACCCTGAAGTTCTGGGTACGGAGGATCGCTTCGGGACCGGCGGCAGGGACGACCGCAGCTGACAGGTAAGTGTGGGTGGGGGGGGGGAGGTGCTGGGGTAAAAAAAAAGGTCCTGGGCTGTTTTTACCCTAATGCAGAGAATGTATTAAGGTAAAAAATGCCCAGACCTTAATACTACTTTAAGGCAGTCAGGGCACAGGGAGACATGTATATATATTTTTTTTTAATAGAACCTTTACTTTTTCTATAGCATGCAAGATCCACACATTCATTACTGTCAGTGTTTGGTGAGATCATCATGTTCCACTGGTGGGGGACATGCCCATTGTTATTGGGAAGATGTATAGCCATCCTAATTAAATAATAAATAAGATAGTCCTATGGTCTTGATTCTGTGGGAAGAACAATCTTAGGCTGGGTTCACACCTAGGCGGATTGAATATGCATGTTTTTCGCGCGTTTCCGAAAAAACCGCGAGAAAAACGCGCGTTTCCGAGGGATACTTGGCTGTATCCCAATGGAACGCCCCAAAGAAGTACATGTACTTCTTTGGGCGTAGGGCGGTTTCCCGCACGTTCGTACTCGCGGAAAACCGCCCAGATGGGAACCATGCACATTGAAAATAATGGCATTTCCCTGTTTTGAGCGTTTTTCCGCGAGTACGAAAGCGCGGAAAAACGCCTAGGTTTGAACCCAGCCTTAGACATTATATGTTGCCCTACTGCAATTAGGCAGATTCAAATTTTAAACTTCTGCCATATTCCAGTGCAGGTGTGAATCATATCGGTTGTGCAAGGCTGTTTTTTTTTCTGGAAGTCTTTGGCAAATAAGGTCAGTTGCCAGTTTAGGCGCAGTTCTGCCTGTTATCACTCTGCTATGCACAATGCCACAAATTTGTCAGGGCTTAGGCAAGAAGCAGAATCGTAGATATGCAGCAGTTGAACTGAAATGTTCAATAAACATGAGGCCTAAACCCGTTGGATGAGGAGACTCCCATCTTATGTCTAGGAGTCAGGGGCGGACTGATAACACATAGGGCTGCTTGTGCAGCTGATAAGGCTCCCTATCGTGCTGCAGGCCACCTATGTACCCCAACCAGTCTAATAAGAGGGTTGCTTCACTCACCTGCCGAGTGTCGTCCATGTACCCAGCTGCTCTTCAACCAGGGGTTCACCTTGGGGGGAGGGGGGTCCACAAACTCCCTGCACCTCAGCCATTCATTGCCCCCCAGCTCCTGCTTGCCCCCCTCCGAGGCCGCTGCTGGATGCTGGTGGCATGAGAGGAGCCTGTATCTGAGTGGTCATGTCCCATCACTCGATGCAGGCTCTCTCTTCCTGTCTCGTTCTGCACACGAAGGGCTTTGGCCTAGATGGGGGTAGGTGGCGATTACTGTGACCCTGGTAGTTCCACCAGTTCTAGGGGTTAAGACCACGGTCCCCCTACTGGCTGCGGACCCTCGAGCAGTGCCCTAATGGTCAGTCCACCTCTGCTAAGGGAGTACATTTTGAGACCAGATCAGGATTACTGACTATTTCCACCCAATTATTCTGAGGGCTAGTTTTCTTACAACACTATATTACTAGCAACAGAGCAAGATTTGGTTCCTAGGTGGGCTACTGCATTTTTCAGCCTGGGTGGAAAATGGCAGCTCTGCACAGGTGATTCTTTTTTCCACTGAATGCATTTCACAGTGAAATGAAAATGAAATGTATACAGCCATGTTCAGTTTTCTTGACACTGGAAAAGTCAGTGTAGTATTGTATAGTATAGTTAGCCTTTTAAATGTTAATTCCACTCCCTGCCAATCCTCAATCTTTCTGCCACAGCTGGTCTTACCTTTGATCGAAAGGCCATTCCCCCAGCTGCAGGTATACAATCTGTACATGGCACTGCAGCCCTCTACTTAATACTTCAAATAAAGCTCACAAATGAGACATTTGAGACAAAGGAGAACTTCAGGTCCACCTCTGCTGATTGACAGCAGCAGAGGGCGGGTGCAATAGCCAGCCTGCTATTGGCTATCGCAAATTGAAATAGCCAGTAGCAGCCTAGCTATTCATTCCCATGCTATCTGTTGTTTTTTTTTTAAATTTTATTATGACGGTGGCCACTGTCAAAATTACAACAAAAAACACAAAGGGCACCTTCCTGAAATAAGAAGGGCACCTCCCTAAAATAAGGTTTTGCCAGTTGGGATGTCTGAGAATGGAATATGTTGCCCAAAAAATGTTGACGATAATTTATTTTTTTTTCTGTTTTGTACAGGTCCAAATGTGACGTCCGTTGCCACTGCCGTGGAGCAAATTTACCCTTATGTGTTTGAAAGCAGAAAAGTGATTTTGTAAATAACCACTCTATGAAACCCATCCCTTTTACCACTTCATGAATTGAGGTTTTAAGCCCAGACACCATTAAAATAAACAAAAAAAAAAAGGAAACTCGATCTAAGAAAACCGGACCAATAGAGGGACAACACTTCTTTTTACCCTGTTGTCTGTCGCAGTGTTGCCGCTTTGTGGATTCAGAGACATTTCTGTTTTTAGGAAAGGACTGTTTACAAGACGTGAACCTGCTGCTTTTAAACATCCATGCTATTTATTTGTGAAGTAATTCCCATGCATTCATATGGAGAGACCTGTAAAGATGTGCACTATTGGAAATCATTTGTTTGAGCTTGTGGTTTATTTATAGTATTTTACTTTTTTTTTTTTTTTTTTTGGAGCATCTCGCCAAAAATGAAAGTCCTATTTCAGGGCATGCCTCAAAGTCGTCTTGTATCTTAAAGCAGGCGTCTAAGAGGAGCCAATCGCACAAGCAGGAAATTACATTTCTGGGGGCGCTCTGTGGAATGCCTCCAGGTTGCCATATTGTGTTGTGAAATTTTGGACAGTTTTAGAATCATAGATTCAGATTTGAAAAGTTAATTTTTTATAGCATTACATTTCATATGGAAGTTCCCACAAAAGGCGGAGAGTCTATAGATTCTGAACTATAGCACCTTTTAACATGCGTTGTTACAGTACTAGCCATCACTGCCAGGTCTCTAGGAAGTGTTCTCTAAATCAGACCATACTGCTTCATATAATTGTGTTGCAGTTTTACATTTAGCTGTGATATGGATTTGGGTTAGCTGAAGGGATGGGAGTGGTATTTTGGGAGTAGAGGGATTGCAGGGTCTGTGTGAAGGCTTTCATCAAGTAATTACAGATGGGTAGGATATGCTTCTGATTTTTTCCAATAGAAGATATAAATACAATGAATATCTTGCAACAGGCTACATAAAAATGTCTTTTTTTATTTACATTGGTAAAGTGAATCATAGGGCTGTAAATGCATCTTTATAAAATCCAGTTCTATATTTAGTGATAAGCAGCGAGTGTTCCATCTGGTGGAATGCTAATTGTAGGATGAAGATTGAAAGTTGTGGTTTTTATTCCCATCCCACAATACAGAGAAGATAAATGATGAATGAAAGGGTGAATAGTGTGTGTGATTTTTTTTTTTTGTATTTTTTTTTTTTTTTTTTTTTTTTTTTTAATACAGACACCAAAGAAAATGTAAAAGTTTTCTTCTCTCTCATTGAATGTGTTTTTATAAATGTTATGTTGTCATAGCACATGTCCTTTTTTTCTTTGTGTAAATATTTTTTAATAAAATGACTTTGCTTAAAATGTTCTTTTTCTCATTTTTAATATTCACTCCCAGGTAGGACATATAATAATTATAAACATTGTAAAAGATGCCTACTAGTACTTCAGGCAAACATCGATATTTACAGATCTTTTGTCATAACTCCTTTAACCATTCGAGACAAGAAATGGCCATGGTACTGAACCTTTAAAGGTACATTAAGACTTTTAAAATGGAAGTGTATGTACATTCCACATCTATCAGTAGGTTGGGCTTCATGCCTCTATGTATACAGTTTTCCTAAGCAAATCATTTTGTCAATCTGTTGGCGATTCTACTAGTAACAGCACTTCCTGTTTCAATTGCCATGCAATTAGTAACAGCCTTGTCAGCCTGCCGTGTGCTGTTACACTAGTTTTGTATTGGGGTGCCATAAATCAAAGACACTTCATTGTGGTAATATTTGCAGGTTACCATTATTCATGTAGTACTGCGATGCCATGTCCATATTCCCCCAAGCCTCATCCCCTTTTGTTGTACATGACAAGTGGTGGAACTCGGATTCTTGCTAAGAAGCGTTAACAGCGGTACATACACATGCCTGAATGAGATCTAGCTAGAAGCTTTTGCATGCGTATAGCCAGATCATATACTGGAAAAAAAAATTGCATACAGTACAATATGTTTTATAAGAATGTATAATTGTGAGAAATCCCTGTGGATAACTAGTGAATGAAAGGTTTAATGGTTCTAAGCAGATGTTATTATTTTCAGTGTCACAGGAGTACAGGTAACCTAGTAGTATTATTATATTAGTAGTATTATTGATAACCTTTTATTTATTTTGTAGGAGTATTTCCAGAAAAACTGATAACCCTGTGTTGTAACACTTCCTTATGCTATCTCAGTTGAAACCCTCCACACACAGCTACCCAGTTTTACCTCAACTCAAATGTAGTGTCCAGATTTACCCTGTAATGCCATCTGCTGCTGAGTTGTGGTATTGTGCAATGATTGTTAATGTTCTGTTTCTCATGTGTTACAACATGTACTGCCTGGCCAAAAAAAATAGTCCCCCCCTGGATTTAGCTAAGAAAATAGGTAAGAGTATAATCTGGGGGTTGCTTCAGTTGGTCAGGTTCAGCAATGTTATGTGCCCAAAAAATGAGGTCAGCTGCCCACCTGAATGACCAGGTTTTTCTATTAACCTCCCTGGCGGTATTCCCGAGTGTGGCTCGGGGTTAATTTTCAGTACCAAAAGCGGTAACCCCGAGCCACACTTGGGATTACACTGTGCGTAACTTACCCTGTCCACGAGCCCCGCTTTGTCCTCCGGCCGATGCCGGCATCCGGGTTCCGTCCCTTGCGAGCGCCTGCATCGCAGGGGGTGGAACCGGTGGGAGATTTAAAAGTAAAAAATTGAGAGAAAAAAAACCTGAGATAATCAGACCGCCAGGGAGGCTATTGGATTATTTTTCTGATGGCACGGACATATTTCAAGATGACAATGTCAAAATTCATCAGGCTCACATTGTGATTGTGAGTGGTTTAGGGAGCTTGAGACATCACTTTCACACATGGACACAGAGTCCAGACCTTAACCCCACTGAGAGTCTTTGGGATGTGTGAAGAAGAATTTAGGCCGTGGTCTGACTTATCACCACTACAAGATCTTCATGCAACTTTGGACATAAATAAATGTTGTGACATTGCATAAGCTTATTGTAACTTTGACATGGCGAATGTGTGCCGTAATCAAAGCTAAAGGTGGTCCAATGAAATAGTGCATGCAGAAGAAGGCACGGATACAATATTCTGATATGTTGTAATGATCCTTGGCGTTGAATTATCAGTATGTTGCTGACCCTTCTTTGTGCAATCAGCAGGCTGCAAGGCAGAGAAATGACACCAGTGTATTTCCAAACACTAATGCTCTCTGTAGATGTGTATGAATCACGAAAGCGGCTGAACAGAATTACAAATACTTTGGTTGAAACATTTACATATCTGTATTTTAGCGATTTGCCTGGAGTATAAAATAATAGTGCTTACTATTTTTTTTTCTTTGTGTGCAGTACAGAAAAGGAGCATGTATCCAGCTAGGATATTTACATCTTGCACGTATTTTCATTGTTTTCTGATATCATTTAGTTCACATTGTTCCATAGTAGCATTGCTGATACATACAATAAATAAAGGGAAAGTGTATTGTATTTATAGTAGCATATATGTTACTTTTTCGTTGTACACCTGGAAGTAATATTTGATGTTGCTTTTATGTATGTACACGCTTATTTCCTATAATTTCTGTTTGTGTATTAATCACTAGAATTCCCACTAGAGGGAGCTCTGGGCCTAACTTCACTTCAATTCACTTCTGCAACATGTAACAAGGAAGCATTGAGGCGATTTGGTTGCCATTCTGTTCCAATGGCTCCATTACTTTTTTCCACTAACCCATAGTGATTATCCAAATTAGAAACTCCAATTTTGTATTGGCTTTCCTGATCTAAAAGTGTTGATGGCAGAGCAAATCTGACGACTAACACCTTCGGAAGTAGATCAGCAATGATGGGCTTCATATTGCATTCAGTACAGGCTTCCTTTAACAATTGTAATGGCAGTAAAGTTAGCCATACAACCTAACTGTTATATTTCTCTGTTCAACCTGCGGGCTGAAGGCCAAAAATATAACATATTCCTCCATCCATGCTAAACAGCGAGCATGGCCAAATCTCCTGCTGGCCTGCTATATTCTGACAGCAGTGGGCGTGCCCCTGTCCGAATACCCGAAACAGTGACGGCAGCTCCGGCTCCTTTGATTTTTTGATTGAAGAATGCAGGATTGTAGGGTGGTGACAGGGCCGCCCACTGTACAAAATCAAAAATTTCCTAGCACACTTACCAGCTGGCCTGCTAAAAAACTCCAAAAACCTTACATTCACAACTTGCGCCACCCACTGTTAATGAACCAGCCAAAATTCGTATAGTGCTTGGCTAGCTTGCAGAACTCCCACCATGTTAGCCCATGCAGCTACAGTGACCCAGTTTGGGACAAGGCATTGCCAACTTGTCATGTCTGTGCATTAGATTGGCCCTTAGAGCTCCGGTCCTGGTGTAATCTGCAAGGCTCAACTGTCCAACTAATAGGTGGTCTGTGCTAAATATTAAGAGTATTGACAGGGGCTTCAAATGCAAAGATCATGACTGGTTGTGTTGAACCGACAAGAAAGGTCCTTCTGGTTATATGTACAGTACGGGAGTGCTGACAGCTGCTCCTAATACACAGAGCTGCAGATTACAAAAGGAGAGTTGATCAGGTTGACAGCCAATCCTGCCCTGTGTATTAGGAGCGCTTACAGTGTCTGCCAGGGACGTGCGTTCAGGGGAGGCAGGCGAGTCAGAGGCTCACCTAGTATTATGGAGGAAAAAGACAATTTTTTTTCCTCCATTCAGATCGGCTTGTTACAGGTTACACAGCAGGGAAAGCCTCCCCACTGTGTAACTTGTCATGGACGGAGCGCTGCCTGTTAATTACAGGCAGCGCTGCATCCGGCTTTTGACAGATAGGTTACACAGCAACGGGCTTCCACACTGCTTGTGTAACCTAACTATTGAAGCAAGAGCTGTCACAGCCTCTTCTCTTTGTTAGGGGCGTGAGCTCTGTGGATGGCTCGGACCAATGGCAAAGCGCCATTGGTCCAAGCTGTCCAATCAAAAAAAGAAAAAAAAAACACCGAGGCCATCGATCTCGATGCCTCAGCAGTGACGAGCAAGTGAGGGACAGGTAGGCTCCTCCCTTCCTCCTTCACTCTAGCTTGGGGTTCGGTGGGGGCGGGATTTCAGCCGTCAGGGTGTGGCTTCGGCCGGCAGGGTGGGATGGGACGTGCTGGGAGCCAGGCTGGGGAATGCCTCACTCGGAATCGGAGGTACCGCACGTCACTGGTGTCTGCTATATGAAATACAGTATATCTGCAAACAGTGCTTTCAGGGTTTATTCACAAATGCATTATATTGTTTTGGTTGGGTTTTTCTTTTAAATCGTTACTCTTTAGCCCTTTATTAACCCTTAGTTTGCCCTTCTAGTTCTTATGAATGCTTTCCTCTCCTTACCTTGGGGTTTTTTTTTATGCATTCAGTTATGTTGTGTTTAAATGGTTAGGCTATGTAAATCACTTTGAAGAGTTATGTTTTAACTTTCAATCAGTGCAAAGGAACAAAATTAAATCCACTGTTGCTCAATGTTCTATGACTTCAAAACATGAAAACTTTCAATAGGGTGAACCTTTTAGGGACTTAATATAAGTATCAATGCAGTAAGAATACAGTTTTATTATTAAGAGAAAATCAGCACATTTTAATAAAGAGGATACAATTTTAAATTGGTGGACAAAATAAACCATTTCAAATATTTAAATAAAATAAAACTAGCAGCATTGTAAGTAGGACGTAAGGAAACTGAAAAATCTGTAATAAATATTTTGTGCTTATTCTTTTTTATCTGTCTATGATTTATATTTGAGATGTACTGTTTGGCAGAGAAAGTAGTGTTCTCTACCAATTTTAGGCCAGCAACAACTCCAAAGGCCTCTTATTTTAATCAGTTCACCCGTGTTGAATAGCTATCTCAATACAGGTCTCTAATTACTGCAACCAACATTTTTTTAGTTGCTGGAACTGATTTTAAGCCTTCATTATAGTATTGTCTGGAGGTCATATTAAAAATGGAAAAAATACTATAACAGCATGCATACCAGAGAATCTTGCTCATCCACTTCTTAAATGTAGCCAGAACCAGTATTCCATTATATTTCATTATAGTGCAAACAGACGACACCCCCCACCCCCAACACACCACCAAAAATATGTCTTTGGTGTTCCAAGCTCTCAGAAATGTAACAATGGAGTATATTACTTCCTCCCTGCATCAGTGGGAGGAGCTTCACAGGAAAACCTGATTTTACTGCCACCAATTTTACATTTTCGGACAAATACTGCTCTTGTTATGGAGTGCATCGAGAATATACATCCCACCACTTATCCTGCTCAGTCTTCCCAAGTGACAACCACGCCTTGACAAAGTCCTCAAGCTAACAGTTGCAAAGGACTTGTTTTATTTACAAAG